ACACACACACACACACACACACACACACACACACACACACACACACACACACACACACAATGCAGGGTCAGTAAATGAGAAGTGTATGGCGTGTATGCGTAAACACTTTATTCTTTTCAAAGCTTATTAATCATTCAAGAGAAAAGATATTTCCAGTTGACGTCAGTATCCGATTATCAGTACGTCAAATTTGCGTAAAGAGCATATTAGTAAATGAAAACTACCGGGAAAACCCCAAGTACTAGATAACCGCGTCAGGGATTGAAATTTTTTTTTGGTAAGTGTTTTACGGCGCTCGCAACTGCATATTGAGGTCATATGAGCGCGCAGGACACATTACACTTTTTCAGTTTGTAGAAAAAAATTTTATTTTGCTCAGGTGGCTGCCGAAGCCTACTCTTATCGATTTTAGACAACGGATCTTTAACGTGCACAACTTGCACACTGGGCCCTCTGAGGTCTTTTGCTGTTGTCCTAGAAGACTAGGTGTAGATCTTTCCTACCAGAAGATCAGAGGTGTGGCTGAAAGACTGAAGAAAGAAGGAGCCAAGGAGTAACAGTAGAAAGGCTGCAGAAAGAGCCAGGAGCCCAGAAGAGGGGGCAAAGGAGGTGAGGGGATGGGGGCAGAAAGAGGAGACGAAAGCAGGCGACTGAAAATTGCCAGAGAGCAGAAAAGGAGGTGAAATTAGACAATTTTAGAGAAGAAAATGTTTCGGTCGCCACCCGGATTCGAACCCGGGACCTTTGAATGAGAGGCCAACTCTAGGCCTCAAGAGCCCCCCGTCAGGGATTTGAACCAGGGCTGTTAACATCATATTACTATAATAACCCAGCATAAAACATAATGAGCTAACGGCACTCTCTTGTCTCGCAAGCCGGGATATTATCTCCTACTCAAACTACTAGCTTTTGGAAGTTTTTGTCAAGATTGACAAGCTTGTTGACAACTTCAATAAAGAGCTTCGAATTATTTCGGATAACGACGGAATTAAGTAGAATTCCTGTTTCACTGGTACTAAATTCCACTCTACGACGGCAATTGAAGTAGTTTCAGAGTGATCTACTTCTGAACAGGGACAAATGTGGTTTGCACACGACAGCACTAAGCTGGCCACTTGCCGGTGGTGATGAAATTAATCTGGACAAGCTTGATCTCATTCCCTGGACGTAAGTATCTTTATTAATTATTGATGGGTGTGCTCTCGCTGGTGGAGTCTACCCTGAGCTGGGTGTATGTACAAGTACATATAAAAGTGGTAGCGAGGAAAATAAGATAAGATAAAGCTGTTCTTCTTTTTTAAAATACTGGTGCATTGATTTTGTGTTGCACCACACACACACACACACACACACACACACACACACACACAC